TTAATTATTACTTGTATTTTTAAATTTATATCTTGTATTTTTAAATTTTATCTTGTATTTTTAAATTATCACGATGTCTTGTATTTTTAATCATTGTATTTTTAGTCCAGGGTGCCTCTTGATATCAGCCTCGTCGCTGAATGGGCCACCCTGGCTAAATAAACTTTACCTTTACCTTTAAATGTGGTTATTTAGGCGACTTGTGGTAATCTCCGTGCACAACAAATAAGCTCAATTATTTTTTAATGTAGCGCGGTATATCACACAGAGTTTGACTTTCTTTGATTGTTTATTTATCTACGTCCCAGGAAAAATGTCTTCAAATACCCTGCATTTTTTAATCCTTTAAAGGAAATATAATTTGGACATGTGTTGTTGGGCCCGTTATGTCTTCCTCAGTAGTATTTATTTCATTTGCCAAAATAGATTAGCCAATAGCCATAGATTTCTGCTACTTTTTTTCTCAGCTATTAAGGATATTGTTCTCATTGAAATTACGAAATAAAAAGTGAGGGTCATGCTGCTCGTTTAAGAGAAAAGGAGCATCTGTTTTGCTATCGAGCTAATTTCAGGGAAATCTCTTACATTTTGTATGTGCACGCGCTCATATGCGCGTGCTAATGACACGAAATCATGCACAGTAGGGATGCACAATGCAATACCAAGGAATCACCTTAAGCAATGTTCGCCTAATGAAACCCACAAATATAATTTGTTTGTTCCAGTCATTGCTAGACTGTTTAAAAATTGACCTACTACAAAGAAAAGCTTAAAACTTAACCAAAGATAGCCTTGGCAGGGCTCAGCAGCTCAATTAAGTGGCACGCTTTCACTGGAATTCTTGCCACCTGCCAAAGAAAAAGTATGGAACGGATGCATATTTTATGAAACTTTGAATTTTTTGATCGGCATATTGAATTCCATAAGCCGTTGTTTTGATGTTCTACAAAGAATTTATGTCCGTCAAAACATAAATGAAACCAAACATGCATCAGCAGATCCTAATTTTGGACTTCAGAAATAACTGGGTAAACAAATATAGCTGAAGAAGAAGTTTCTGTTTCCTCAATTCTCACCCGTACAAACGCACAACAAATCATTGCGTTACTACGAATAAGGCTACAGTTGAACAACAAGTGTTGGGAAGTTTCTTAATGATGTGACCAAAATTAAGTTCTAAAGTGTAAGCCATAAAAAATCTAAACTCTGTTGTAGTCATATTAGGGAGAGTTTTCGTTCACGAAGAACTAATGACCATCATTTGGTAGATTTTACCGAGCAACGAGTTGAGAGCGTCTGAAATTTCATTTGCAAACAAAGTAACTTTACAGGTACAGGTACTGATATAAAGGCCTTCAGCTTTTTTGTTGGTACATAATTATTTTCATCTGTATTGTAACAGTAACTTATCGGTTGGTTATAAATTAGATAGTGGGTTTGTGCTCAATGTTACATTTACGGCTTCACGGAAACAAAGCAGACTGCAAAAGGCATGTTTTGATGTCCCAGAGTCCCATGGTGTCTAAGTTGGAAACTATAGTGTCTAGCGAAAAGTTTTGTTTTGGCATCTTGTATGTCGATTTTTGTGCAGTGAAGGTGAAAGAGACGACAAATATCTTGACATCTGTAGAGCAATACCTTTGAAATATACGTCGACAAAGAGATATGCTCTGTGACAAAAGTATGACAGTTGGGCAAATCTAAAGTGTCACAAAAAGCTGAATCTGATCACATTCTTTGCCGTACGGAAAACCTCTGCTGTTCGAAATGCTGAAAAGTTTTGAATTCTGAATTGAAAACCGCTGCCGTCCTAAAAGATAAAAAATTTTTTCGAATGGATAGCAGCAGTTGTTTGAACAGCTAAATATTTTTCTGAACAGATAACCCCAACTGTTTGAATGGCATTCCAATCAATCTTGAATGCAACAGCAAGCAATCAATTTTTAGCCGTTCCAACAGATACCCGTTGGTGTATGTTTTCGTGTGAGAGGCCACAATAAAAAAGAGATTAAAGATTTACAGTTGAGGATTTGATTGTTTATTCAAGAATGAACAATGTGACTGTCTCAACATGGTGTGACCAGTCAACATGACCAGCGAGTGAAGTTTTTGGCCGGTCAAGTCACCATTCTAGCCGTACATTGTCCGTTGACCGGCTGTTATTTTGAGCTCTGGTGTTGATTGTAGTCTGGCCTCTACCCTGCACCCTTCCTGACTTGGTTGAACATTCTTGCTACTGTGCACAAGGGTCACTGACAGATGCAAGCCTCCCCACCATGTCAAGGTAGCAGCACATGGGGAGGAAAACCCAGTGCACTGCTCTCCCAGAAAGGCACAAAAAATGATTTCCACTCTTATTTAAATTCTTCTTTAGCACCATATTGTCTGTCAAAAATAAAGCACAAATTTCAACATTGACATTCTCATTTGTTCTCCTCTATAGATTTTGAGTGAATTTTGTCATCACAAAGTCAGACTTATCTGTGGAGGATCTACTAGGTTAGTTTGAAATCTAGTTTCAAATGAATTTAAATTGATTGAGATAGCTTTTGTAAAGTCACTATACTCTTTGAGCATCAATAGTTTAGAAATTTAGTTTTCCCCTTAGAGTTTTAGTGGCATTTATGTTTTATATGAAACTGTCACTAGCTTTTTCTCAGGGCTGAAAATTAATCCTTAAATTTTCATTGGCCCAGTACAAAGTAATTAGTGGCTCTTGATTTCCTTTAATTAGACACATTAGAAATAGCAAGTTTATTTGAACAAATGCCTCAGAAAAATTGTTGTTGAAGGGATAGCATGCACAACTTCAAAACTGGATTGCCAAGTGCTGGAGGTAGGTAGCATACTGGTAGTTTTTATTTAGCTTAACCCTTTACCCCCTAAGGCAAATGACAGTTTTTCCTAAATCAGCAAATAAAGGCTCTCTGCCTGTGTACAATATACCATTTGAAAGCCACTGATCAGCTTATTTAAGAACTGACATCAGCAACTGTGAAGGAGGTAGGCATTTTGAGAGAAATTGTTTTGAAATGTGAAAATGAAAAGCTTCCAACATGTATCAATTCTCAAATATCATAGGTATGTCCCTGAACTGTGGCTTATTTAGCAGGTCTTAGTACATAGCTTGATGTGAAACAAGTCTTGTATTCCATGTGCATCTCAAAAAAGAAATTGTAAAGTTATGGGGGCGGTCAACCATATCTTAGATAGGAGGGGGTCACAAGTTTATGCCTTCAATGAGCAGATCTTTGCAAGAAAAATTTTATGGCAAAAAGTCATAGAAATCTATTTATTCACAAAGTTATGATGTTGTGTGCCAAATGGCACTCTTAGGGAGTAAAGGGTGAACTAAATATCACACAATGCACAAAATGAGTGCAAAGTATCCTGTGTCATTTGTACTCTAGGAGACTGGTTAAGCAAGTTTCCAAGAGGTCATCATAAAGGACAACACAAGGCTAACTAAAATAGAAAATATTTGTAGAAAACAGTAAGAAAAAAAGAATTTTTTCTACCAAAATTAAAGAATTCAAAACAGCCCAAAACCTGTAGTCATTTTTCCAAATTGAATGGAGGCCATTTTGACCATCTTTTCATCTCGTCACTTCTGAAAAAGCTTTGTCAGCCACCATATCGTGAGATGACTGCTTTTTTAATTTTCTTTTTGTAACCTCACTCACTTTTTTTGGTATCTTAGACACAGGTCGATATGGTGTGGCATTCAAGCTCTAGCTGCAGATGGGAGAGGTCCGCCGACTGTGGTAAGTGTAAAATGGTAATAACTAGACTTTAAACATAACAGTTTGCTCATACTTTGATAAGTTGCTTTTATGAAACAGTAATGAGTTACAAGACTGTAGTCAACACTGAAATATCTGAATGCAATTGTCAAACTCATTTATTTATAATAACATTCTCAAGAAACCATATCATAGTGGTTGGAAATGTGATTTTGATTAACATGATTATAAATTCTGGCTTATGATTTTACAGCCACATCCTAGAATCCTTAATAACACAGTACTGGTAAATAGATTCAGCCAAGCCTAAAAGCGGAGCTTGTGGGCTGAGTTGTTGAAAGCCATTAATTAAGCGAACCCAAGATAACCAAGAATTTTTATTTGAGTTTTGTAACTTTGCCATGAAGTTTTCTGTTTACATTGTTTAGTCTTCTGTTTTGAGTTTGAATAATCTCAAACTACACAAAACATAAGCGTAAAAACATATCTCCCTGAAATTGTTTCCAATCTGTTAACTGGGCTTAAAAACTGTTTTAGATGTTAATAAATGAAATTATTATATGGCTAGCGGGCAAGATGGATCAAATCCTGCACTGTGATTGGCTACCCAAGCGGGCAAGATGGAGCTATCTTGCCCGCTCGGGACTACCCGCTGTGTCCTGCAAGAAAAAATCCCCCGATAGGCATATAATAAATCCTTTATTGACCAAGCTTGTTCGGTCACGATGGCTGGATATTTGCCTCGTTCTTTTTTCGCGAGTTTATGGACCTTGACTGCGTCTCAGTCCATAAACGCGCAAAAAAAGAACTTGGCCAATATCCAGCCATCTTTACCTCACACTTGATCAATAACCCATATATGTGGTACGGGTTTCAGTTCAAAGTAGCCAACTGGCTTTGGTCTGCTACTCAGTGTAATTGTTGTCGAGTTATGTATTATTTTCAGTTAAGTATTATTCTCTGTTAAGTATTAGTCTTTGTTGCGTATTGGTAACGCTTCGATATCATATGTCAGACCTCGTGCGTTATCGTTTTGCGATAGTTGTTTTACACAAGAGAGCTTATTGTGAAGGTTACTGCGTTTATCTTGCGACTTGTGTATTCAGGCAGAGAGGACAATCGTTAAGCGTGTATTTCCTTCCTTGCCCTTTTCGTTGCATTTCTTGGTCAACTGTTGTATTTTAGATTTCCTCGCGCTCGCGTATTTTAATATGTGCTCGTGTTATGTAATGGTTATTTTGGTTTTAGTCTTTCGTGTCGCTTAGACTAGGTTTTCGATTGTATTTTAGTTTGACGGTTTTGGACATCAAATCACAGCTAATACAAATAAATCACGTTGGAATCATACTTAGTCTTTGGTGTTTGAAATCAGTATTTCGAGCGAAGTCCTCGTAAATCTTTTTATCTTTTAGGACATTCCGACGTTGTTACAACGCCTGGAGTTAAAATCAGATCCTTATGGCGGTCCTTGAGTTTATTAAACTATTTTTGCTATTTCCTTTTATTGTAGGTAATTCTTCATGATGCAGTTCGGCCATTTGTAGATGAACCAACTTTACGGAGTGTGACTGAAGCTGCTAAGAAACATGGAGTAAGTAACACACTGAGTTTGTAACAATCTACCATAGGCAAGTC